AAGTTGCGGACAGGGATGAAGTAGGCGTAGCGTTGGGTCGAATGCAACAGATATAAGTCGTGTCTATTGATGGGATAACTGGACGCAAAACAAGACAACGATTAACAACTCAATCGACACATCATTTGGATCGCAAAATGAATACCGAATTCTTGTGCCACAGTCGAGGTTCGCGATGTCTTCAGTGGGAACAGTGAAGCCATTGTCGTGTTTGGGCGGGTTGTGAGTGAAGCCGCAGTCAAACGAGTCGATGATAATGTCCGCAACCTTGCCGTCAGTGCGAGTGCCGATCACTTTGATAAACTTGACTAAAATGGTGTCGAAGTAGACCGACTGCCACGAGCGGCACACGTACTTCGAATAGTCGACGACTTTAGTCCACTTCTCGTTGTCGATGGAGCCCTCGATGAAGTAACTGTACTCTCCTTTGCCTGATATGAGTTCCGACAGCCGGAGCTTAATGTGATTGATCTCATAGGCTTCGGTGAGTTCAATGGAATAGTAGTATCCAATGGCGTCCGTCTCGTGCTTCATGGTCTTGATGGTGAACTTCGGCGTGAACTCAATCGCCTCCATCTTAATGGCCTCCGTATTGGTCGACGAGTCCAACGACNATAGGCTTCGGCGAGTTCAATGGAATAGTAGTATCCAATGGCGTCCGTCTCGTGCTTCATGGTCTTGATGGTGAACTTCGGCGTGAACTCAATCGCCTCCATCTTAATGGCCTCCGTATTGGTCGACGAGTCCAACGACACTCTCTTGCGTTTCGGTTGAATGGCGTCCAGAATCTCGGTGTCGGTCACCAGATGTGTGGGTCGGACCACTTGCAGCAGCTCCTCCTGACCCAAACGCTGCAGATTAACGCATGCGACCAAGTCTTTGCTGTCCATCTGGGGGTTAGTGTTAATCCATTTGTAGACGGCTTTGAATTTCTCCACTTCCGGCGCTTCAAACGACTTTCTGGTGATCAGGAGCTTGAAGTTGGCCACCGTCTGGCCATAAGTGGTCTCGTGGTTCAGCAGTTTGACGGCCGACCGGTCCATAAATCGGAGGCAAAACTCGGCCAAAGTGTTGGTCTCCTCGAAGAGATTGGACGCGCTATATATGGCCCACACGTTGTCTATTTCGACGGTGTCTTTGAGGTAATCAGAGATGCCGTACACTATCTCCAGGAGTTTGCAGCGGTGGGCGAGAGTGAGCACATCGATCACCACATCCAGTGACAGCCCCTCCACCAGCAGCTCTCCGCAGTACAAGTACTTCAGTATCAGTTTGAGAGCGTTGGCAGTGGTGCCGAACATCTCCAGAGTTGATCCCGACTTAGACATCGCCGACCGGTGATCGCCAGTCGCCGCCTCGTCCGGCGAGTGGCCGTAGATTTGCTTAAAGAAGTACTGACTTCTTGTGGCGACAATGCATTTGTGTGCCGGCAGTACCTGTCCCTCCACTTTCAGCCGGATGTCACTCGTGTTGTCCGACAGATATAGGGATCCGATTTGTTTCAGTAAATCGCTTTTGCCGTCAATCAGACCCCTCCTGATGACAATGCCGTTGTCCGTCCCATTCATCGTGTTGTTCAACGTGTCTGTCTTCAGATCCTCTTTCACCTCGAAGACCATGGCTGACGAGTGAAGATAATTGACTGCAAGCGATGGTAATAATCAATGAAAATGTGTTTTATTTCTTTCAAATCATCTTAAGTGCCGGCCTTTCATGCAATCAATGCTTTTGAGACCATCCGTACATTACGTGCACTCAAACTCAACCCAAACTCAACCCAAACTCAACCCAAACTCAACCCAACACTCATTACTCGCATTTCATTCACTTTTAATTCATGTGTTTTAGTGTTTAATGATAATTAGAGTTGTATTTTGCATTAATACAAGTTGTTTTCATGGGATTCAATTAATTATTAGTTTAAAAAGCATTTAATTTATGAAATCAAACAAACGTTTTCAATGTATCTATACTGTTTAGGAGCCAATTTACAGTATCATAGTGTCACAGTGTGAGTGCAATTTGTTGTTCACATAATCAGTGTACTGTATATGCAAAATGTGAACAATAATTCATGCAGAACTGTACAATGCATTTAAAGCACACAAAACGTGTGATTTCTATGAAATCATATGATTTTCACATATTTTGTCCACAAATTGATTTCATTGTGTATTTAGTTTGGGATCAAAACAATGGATAAATTGTCCGAAAGTGATGACAACTCTGGCTATAATTCAGATGAAATCAACTCCGATATAGAGGTGGAGCTGTACGGAGCCATACATCACATGTACGGATCAGATGGACACGAATTGGCCCCCAATTCAGCCGATGTTGTCACCGAAACTGAACCCAAAGCCACGGCTGAAGACAAACCAATTGGCGGACAAAAGACTTGTGAATCGCCGCTGAATTCAAGTGATTCGAGTAAACCATTGAATAATTTATTCAGACTTTTAGACACGAGACTAGATGTGAGTGACAATGAGTTTGACAAAGACTTTGTATTTAACGACAACACCGAAGACATTGATTTGATTGAAATCAACGACTCGGGCGACGATTCCGATGTGATTATCATCGATGAGAAGTCAGGCGATGGCAAAAGGAAAGCCAAATCTCCCGATAAGAGGCGCAGCAAAGCGTCGACCAGTGGGTCCAACAGATCCAATAGATCCGAACCAAACCTATCGCTATCATTGGGTAATGTAAGCAATTTGGACGAAACGGCCGTTTCGGCGATGAATCAGTTCTACGATGAAGACGATTATGACAGCGAAGAAGAGGAGCGAAGTTTTAACGCCTTAAGTAGTGATAGAAGTTTATGGAGAGTGAGTTACACCGACACTCTCGTAGGCCTTCATAAGCCCAACCGATACTACAGGAGTAAAGTGTTGTGTAATAATTGCAACGAAAGGGGACACATGGCCCGCGACTGTCCACTGCCTAAGGTTTGTCCGTACGATAGGTGTGTGCATTGAATTGGTTTCTAACTAAACTTGTTTGCGTGTAACAGAAAATCCTCACATGCTATCTATGCGGCGGTAGTGGCCATAGGGGCGAGAAGTGTAGGTCTGTGCTGTGCTCCAAGTGTTTGAGTGGCACTCACCGGACAATTAATTGTAATTCTGCGAGCAATGCACTGGTATGTGATGGATGTGGCGTTAGAGGACATGTAAGAAATCAATGCACTTATAATTGGAGAAAATATCACTTAACGGTTAGCACAGGCTCTGCACTCGCATACTGGAGCCCAGAATGCCTGCAATTATTAGTTTAATTGATTGAATGCTATAAATATGTTTTTTCAGACCACTTATACCACTGAGGAGCCAATCGTTTTTAATTTACGTCCCAATGTGCGGAAGAGTTGCTATAATTGCGGTGCGTTTGGCAAACACTTTGGATTTGTGAGTAATTTACGATCAAATATAACTATAAATAGTATTTATTTAATTTGTTTCATACGATTATTTATTAATTCAAAACAATTGTAAATGTTTTCCTAGAGTATGATAGCCCGTAATGATAAGACATTTGTTTTAGTCTTTCGATTAATTATTTATTTATTTGCGAAGGAATGCCGTTTGAAGGGAATGTCCAAACATACGACTCCTGTATCGCCTTTAATGTCGACTCTAAGACGAAGTCATTGTTTTAATGGTAGAGAAGATAATAATAAAAGAGATGATTGCGACCCAAAAGCCTTATGTAATGAATTTGTGAAAAGCATTTCTAGTAATGAATTGAGGAGTTGTTTGAGCGCATCATTTAATAAACCATTAGATGATTTCCATTTGTGTCATACCATCGCCACAACCTCTTCAGCCACTCCGCACACCGTCACCACTGCCTCCACTCCTGCCCACCACTCACTCCACGCATTCCATCACCAAAACAAACACATTAAATGGGTTTATCCCGACATCAATGACTCGAGTGATGGTTATGGCAGTCATACCAGTCGTGCCACTCATACCAGTCATAGCAGTACTCCTATCGCCAGAAAGTGTCCCAAAAATAGGGCGATTTCGGAGCCCATAGTGAACACAGTGTTCAACGATTCATCGCCTCTTACGAGTGCTTTCTATGCGTTGGACGCGACACACACTGCCGTCACTGCACACACTCTAACGCACCGACAGATCAATAACTGGCAGTCAATGCAACCCACGAGTCAAACAACACCTCAACTCAGCGAAAGAGCACAACAGAGAAGAATTAGACGCAAAATGAAAAAATTGGCCCAAAAGATGGCCCAAAAACGGGAACACCATCTCCTCAAAGAGGCCAATGGACCGCAATTCCAAACCATCGATAGTATCGATAAAATTAAGAAAACAAAACAGAGAAAGAAGTTCAGGAGAGATAGGAATCGGATGAAGAAAAGGCAGAATCAGAGCCAATAATTAGTGACACTTTTTGTATAAATGAATACTTTTTGTATAAATGAATACTTTTGTTAAATGTAATTATAAGCGAATTTTGAGCCCAAAGGCTGTGTATATACGGAGGAAAGAAAGTAATGGTTTTATAAATTAGAGACAAATAAATCATAAGTTGTTGAACAGTCAAAGTTTGACAAATGATTGCATACAATAGAATAGAGGCTTAAAATATATTTGATATTATTTTTTGCAAAGCATTCACTTTATATAAACCGTAGGAACAGTGAGAATAAGCTCTCATTTCTAATAATTTATACTTTTATTCGATAGAAATTTTGCTGCAAATGATGGCAAAACAGAGTCTTATATTATATTTGATATAAAAGTTATAACTCTTATACGGTATATAAAAAAAAAGGTTTGAATTGAATTGCTGTTTGTTTTAGTGCACAACACAAGGACTCTGTGGAGACTGACGGGGCCGGTAGTTATGTTCTGTGTTATGGTAGTGTAATGTAATACCATTTATCAATAGCCGTCTGATCGTCGATAGGCTTTGGCACCGATTTGGCCGACTCTTGCCTTTGATTTATGATTTCCACTGCATTCTGATTATCAATCTTTGAGGAGTTGTTTAAAGTAGTGTTCTTTAAGACCAGTTCTTCTGCCGAAGACGTGGCGATCAACTCTTTCCAGTATTTGTGTGTCTCAGCGATCGTCTTCTCGGCGAACTCCCGATTCTTGGGCTCACCATTGAATGCGAACTCATTGGGCGGCTTTCCGTCGGGAATTTTGTAGATCTTGAACCACTCGTGAGTGGCGCGTATGAGCCCCGGCAGCAGCATCTCTACGTCTTGAATGTCGTTCAGTTGGTCAGCCAACGCGTCCCGAACATCGATCCCAATCACCTTCCAGTCGGTCTCCCCCTCGTCGATGAGCGCCATCACTCCCAACACCTTTATTTGGATCACTTCTCCCCTGAGCGCCACTCGTGAGCCGATTTCGATCACATCGATCGGGTCGTTGTCTCCCTTACAACCCGTGGCCTCATCCAAGTGTTTCGGGTCCTCCCAGGTCTGGGGGATAGCGCCGTAGTTCCAGATATAGCCCTTATGAGGGAAACAGTTGCGAACGTAACGCAGTTTATCACTCTTGATGTCCTGTTTGACGGGATTGAGGGGCTCTTTGGTGGCGATTTCCATCTTAGCGTTAGTCCAGCGCGGGATCTCCACCACCATATTGTAGATGCGATTGCCCTCATCGGCAAACAGAGGGATGTCGTGCCAGGGAGACAATGGCTCTCCAGAGCCCTTCTCTGCCAAAAACAAATAACATTTCGCTTAATGTTTGTCTCAAATACGGGTAAAGTATTCGCAAAAAGAGTATTATAATTGAATTAAAACTCTTTGGGCTTTCATTTGATGCTTACATCTCATGAAAACGCCGGAAATATTTGT